AAGTATTAAAGGCAACAGCAAAGAATGAAGGCAATAGAGTTAAACTGTGTGCGTTTGAACCCAGGCTCTGGGCAAAAGCTGCTTAATCTCTGTGAGCCTCTGCTGCCTCATCTGTAAAATGGAATGGTACTAGTGAGAATTAAATGACATAATGCATGTAAAATACTTAGCCCAGTGCCCAGAACAGAGTAAATGCTCCATCTATGTCACCCGTTGTCAATTTCTATGACTTATGTCTTCATCTATTCATTCATTCCAGGATCCATTCCCTTTACACCACGTGCTGGGCACCGTGGCTGGTACTTGGCAATGATGCAAAGATAGATGGAGAGACGGACAGGTCTCAAAATAGTGTGCTAAGAGCTATGATACATTAATATATCCAACGAAGGGAGAGAGGGAGGTTGACTTGGATGGGGCACAAGGGAACATTCATTTGGGGGGGATGAAAATGTTCTATACCTGGATTCTGGTGGTGGCCACACACTGCATAAAGTTTGTCCAAAACCCATTGAAAAGTACATTTAAAATTGGTGCATTTTATTGTATGTAAACTCTAACTCAATAAAGTTGATTTTTTTAAAAAAGCTGCCACGGGTAAATTTATTGAATGGGCAAAGGAACGGATGATGGATGAATGAATGAATGAAGTCTGTGAATGAGTGTCTCATATGATTGCCCACCTGTCCTGGTGCCACGATTGTCCCAGCTGAAGGTGCTCTTGCCCTCCGCTCTCGGGGTCCCGATTTTCCCCAGCGGCTGAACTTTGGAGCTGCTCCCACTCCAGTGGCAAGGAAAGTGCCCCAGTGTGCCCAGCCGGCGCTCCCCGGCTCCTCTAAGGCTGCTTCCCGGGGTTTCCGGAGGCCTCCCTTCCAGCTGCCACACTCCAGACCCGCCAGCTCCAGCTCAGCTCCACGGTGCCAAGGTTACGGGTGCGATGCCCAACTCCAGACCCACAGTGCCAGTAGCGCAGCCGCCAAACCCTGGGCCGACTGCGCCACTTGCTGGTCTTTCTCGGAACTACACTCTTAGAACTCCAGGGAAGCTGGAACCTTCGTTGAAGACCTACCAGGGCTGGATACTTCATTAAGTTATTATCTTATTGAACCCTCACAGCTACCATGTGAGGTAGGCTTGGAAACATGAGGAAACTGAGGCACAGAGAAGCTAAGGAATTTGTCCAAGGTTACACAGTAAATTACAGACCTGAGAGTCTTACCTATAACCCGTTGCCGTGGAGTCCATTCCGACTCATAGTGACCCTATAGGACAGAGTAGAACTGCCCCATAGGGTTTCCAAGGAGCAGGTGATGGATTCGAACTGCTGACCTTTTGGTTAGCAGCCACGCTCTTAACCACTGCGCCACCAGGGCTCTTACCTAGATCTGTCGAACTGTCTAACCTGTTCTGTGCACTTGACTGTACCTTGAGTGGGGGAGGAAGGTATTTGGGATTTTCCCCTCTTGTCACCTCCCAGAAAGAGTGCACAGACTCATATCGCCCTTCCAAATTCACCTCCCAGAGAGGCTGAATGTAGCCTGAGCAGGTACTGGGCGAGGAAATGAAGATAGATGGTTAGAAGGACAGGTCTCAAAATAGCATGCTCAGAGCTATGGTACATTAATGGACACCCCATGATAAACTTTTTTTTTTTGTCGGTCCTACAAGAAACCAAGCAGAAAGACCCATAGTTCAATCAGAGTTAAGTCAAACAAGGTCTTGAATTTGTTCCTTGGACCCAACGGCCTGTGCTTTTAACTCAAGAATAATAACTAAGGAGTGGCATATTATTTTTACATCTCATTTGCATATGATTAATTCTAAGTCAAAGTGAATGGAGGTCACCCTGGCCCCTCGTTTCTCAGCCCCGGGCACGTGTCTCCCCCAGCCCAGGCTGGGCTCTACCATCCCCACCAGCCCCTTCCCACCCTTCACCACTGCCACCCCTCCCTCAGCTCCCAGAAGTCCTGCTCCTTCCTCCTCTGTCACCCACACAGCCCCTGCCACCTGGCCGCCCACCTGAAAAACTTTTCCCTAAGTTCTTGAGAAGTCGTGTAGGATCCAGGAGAGAAAAATCAAAGTAATAAAACCTCATTTAATTCCTAACAGAGGGCAGAGCTGTGAGCTGCAATTATCTTAATGCTGAGCTATTTTTACTCTCTCCATCTCTGTCTCCTGCCTCTCTCGCTCGTCGTGAGCGGTCTCTTTCTCCCTCTGCCTAGCTTTGTCTCTCCATCTCTCACAGATGCTTTCCCTCTTTCTTTTCGCTTTTTCCTACCCTCCCCCCTTATCTCTCTCACACCTCCTGACTCCATGCCCTTGTCTCTGCCCTCCTTCCTTCCTCTCTCCTCTTTCCTGTCCACTCCTCTGTCTGTAATTCTATCAGCCAGTCTTTCCCCTCCTCTGGGTTTTAGCAGCCATCGGTGGCTGGGCAAAAGCTGATGGAAGGGGGTAATGACTATACCCTCTACCTCAAAAGTTTTGGTGTCCTGACCTGGCTGAGAGGGAAGATTCTCTGCTCTGCTTCCCCTTCCCAGCTGCCCCAGATGGGGACCAGGGGAATTTTTTCTGATTCAGGGCCTCCCAGAGCGCCAATACTTTTGGCAAATCCTCTATAAACAAATCCTCCCTGGTCAAATGAGTTTCAGCTACAGGGTTCCCAAAGGCTTTCTCAGCTCAGAGTGCAAGATGCTGCTCTGTCCTTGTCCTCTCACCACCCACCCAGCTGTCCTCTGTCCCCTTCATCCCACCCCAGAACCCTTGCCTATGTCCCCCAGCACTGGAGGTGCCAGGCCCACACCGTGGCCCAGTGGCTGCTCATGACCTTCCTGTGCCTCTCCTTACCTTATTTACCCTCCCACGGCATTGCCAAACTGGTCTTTGCCACTCCCCACCCCACCCCATCTGGAAGAGGGGTTCTGGGCCAAGCCAGGGGCTACAGAGATGCCCATACCCAGGGCCAGCAACTTGGTATCCAGCTGTTTCCCAACAAGCATATAAGTCAACAAACACAGTTGGACTTGAGCCAGGCCTGGGGTCGGGGGTGGGGTGTGGAGCTGAGAGGCCAGGACTTCCCTCTCCCACGAGCAAAGCTCTGCCCTGTGGCCACCCTCTCCCCGACCCTCAAAGTGGGCACAGACCCTGTGGTTGAATGTGGCATTCCTGGTCTCATTTTCACAAGACTTCCCTGGCTTTTTGCTCCACCAAGGACCCAGCAGGCTGGGGCCAGGAGTGGAAAAGTTGCTGAAGGAGTTGGGGGTTAGGGAGGGCTCCTGGCTGCTCCAGGAGAGAAGACAGCCAACGTAAACAGAGCCCCAGGAAGACCCACACACATGTACACATCTACAAACGCACACACCCTCTCAGTGCTACAGAGAGGATTCAGACCCCCACACAGAGCCCGGCAGAAGGAAACACCCACTCCTCAAAGACATCCAGGGCCTGGACAGATAAATAGGGACACTTCAGCCCACAGGGTCAGCCCCTCCCCTTCCTCCTTGCGGAGACCCACACAAACACTTCTGCAGAGAGAGACTCACACCTCAGAAATAAGCACACATACCTCTCTCCCCCAGCTCTGTTCCTGAACACACCAAACTCACACACGTGCTGGCACGTGTACTGGTACAAGCAGACCCTGACACCACAACTCTGTCCCCTGGGGGAAAAGGCAGGAGACACGTGAATCCGGGGCACATCGTGGCAGGGACACATCCCCCACCAAACACACTCACAACCTCATTGCCCCCCACCCCTTCACAGGCTCTCAGGCTGTGTGGATACAGTGCCCCCACCGCCTGCTAGCTGGCACACGTCTGCCCATCACCTTGACAGCCTCTGACATCCTCCCCCACACCCACACCCGCCTCAGCACACGCGCCATCCTCCCACACCCTGCCACTCACTCCTGCATCCCTGACACTCTGACACACTTACTCACACAGACTCATACACACTTACACCACACCGACCCCCTTCACACACACACATACTCCCTAGCTATAGGCAATAAGGCTCCCTGGCACTCACTGACATACACTCCCTGCCATGATGACTGACATGTGTCCTCCCACAGGCAACCCGCTCGTTCACACTCACACACTTTCTAGGACACCCCCATTCACAGCGTGACATGCTGTTACTCTCTCCACGACCTCACAGGCCTCCCCGAGAAACTCCAAGTACCCAGGCCATGAAGGGGTTAAAGCCAGAGTCCCTTGGCTCCATTGCCCGCTGCCCCTCTCTCCCCCCACTATCCTCCCAGCTGGGCTCCGTCAATAATGCAGCTTCCAGTTCTGGGGAGACGGCAGGGGGCCCCCAGCCTGCTCCCCCTGCCCTGGCTCTCCCTCCCCACCCTCTTCCCAGCTCCAGGGAGAACACAGATCCGGGTGCTCATTGGCCACATTCTCCTAAGCCCTCCCATTAAGCACCCGGGCCAGTCCCAGGCCGAGGAGACGGACGAGCTGGGGACCCCAAGGCTGGGGCCAGAGGGGTGAGCCCAGAAGAGCCGGAGAAAGAGGCAGAGACAGATACATCGAGAGGAAGCGAGGCCGAGAGTAGGAGACCGCGGAAGGGAGGGAGAGTCGAGGAGAAGTCACATAGAGACCCTCACAGAGAGTGAGGGAAGGAGGGAGAGAGACAGAGGCACTGAGAGAGAGGCCGAGAGCTAGCGAGAGGAGAAAAGGAGCCCGGTGCCTGAAGGCGGAGGTCCGAGCTCCGCGCAGACCGAGGGGGAGGGGGCGCGGCTGCGGCGAGCCGAGAGGCTGGGGGCGCCGAGCGGGCCCCTCCGCGAGCCCGGCGCACCGACCCCTCCTCCTGCGCTCGCGCCCCCCCTCGCAGAGCGCGGTATTTTTATCTGTGCGTGAACAGCCCTCCTCCTCCTAGCGGCACGCAGTCCGCTGTCAGCGAGGCGCTGGGAGCACCGCGGCGGAGCGGAGCAGCGACCACCGCGCGGGACCCTGAGTCGCGCGCCCCCAGCCCCACCGACCACCCCGCCCGCCATGGACCCCAAGGACCGCAAGAAGATTCAGTTCTCCGTGCCCGCGCCCCCCAGCCAGCTCGACCCCCGCCAGGTGGAGATGGTAAGGGGCCGCGCCCCACCCGCGGCGGCGCCTCCCAACACGGGGGCTCCTCTGCGCTCCGGCGCGGCCGGGTCCCGGCTGGCCTAAGGGTGGGGCGGAGGGAGAGCCCGGACCTTCCTTGGACAGGACTGGGGCGCAGGGCGGCGCGCGAAGTTCGCTGGAAGCGCTTGCAACTTTTCCCGTAGAGCCTCAGTCCTGAGCTGGCCCGGAGAATTCCCGGCAGGGAGCGTCGAGGCCGGGCGCAGGAGGGGGACTGTCCTCTCGATCCCGCGCAGTGTCCTCCTTCCCTAAGATATCACCGAGTTCACTCTGCCCAGGTTCTAGCCCCAGTGCGCAGTCAGATGTAGAAATACCGTACATTGACCCCATTTTACAGAGCAGGGGTTTGAGGCCTCCACCTCGGCTGCCCCGCCGCCCTGCCCTTCTCTAGTCCCACCCTGTATGCCTGGGCTGGGGCCCCAGAATCTGGCTTTGACCCTCTTCTGTTGCCAGTCCCTAGAGCCCCAACCCCAGTTATCACAGAAGCCAGACCTCTTCCCACAGACCACTGAATCCTCGGAGAGCGTTCCTGGCCCTCCTCCCCAGGCCTCCAAGGGTGAGGGGAGGGCTCCGCCTCGCACAGTCCCAGCGGTGGGTCACTTGTTGCTGGGATGCAGCTAGCTCTCAACAGAGCAGTCAGTGGGGCCAAGTCATTTTAGGTGGAGAGATGGGGGATGATGGGGGTGGGGGTGGGGTCCTGGGCCTAAGCAGCTTTTTATCTGAAGGGCATGTTGAAAGTCTAGCAGGAGGAGGTGGCAGTTTCAGCTTGACTCACCTGGTTCTCTGTGAATTTCCCTGGAGCTCTAAGGGGACCTAATTAACTGATAGTTGGTCTGATTGCCAAGCTAGGGGGTGGGGAGAGTTGCTGGGAGTTCTCAGCGTCCCCCACCCCCAACTGTTCAGTGTGGCTCCTGTACCAAGGAGGGCGTCTTTTCGTTTTTACAAGCATGGGCAAAGAGTTCTACAGTCTGAGAGAGACTGCCAGAGGGGCCCATACCCAGGCTCCAGAGACCTCTCCAGGCCCCTGTGAGTCAAGGGGCTCAGGCCCATCCCTGGCCTTATTGTGAGGCTGGAGTTGTCTGCAGTGCCCCAGCTCTGCCTCCCTTTGCAGCTGGATCTGGTTGCTTTGGAGCCCTTGAGCTGACCTTAGGTGGGCAGGGCCACTTGGGTGCCATGGCCCATGGGGCATCTTCCCCAGAGGGCCCCTCCCTGGCAGCTGGAGCCAGAGCCAACTTGGGCTCCTGAGGTCTGATGCCTTCAGAAACTGGAGAGAGGAAGGGCCTCAGTAGAAGAAGATGGAGTGGCCATGGGGTAGGACAGGCATGGGCTGGGAATCAGTGACTGGAGTTTTCTTGTCCTTTTTCTGCCTGGGTGTGCTGTGTGGCTCTAAGCACATTGCTGAACCTCTCTGAGCCTAGGTTTCCACCTCTGTAAAATGAGGGGGTTGGATGAGCTATAGAGTTCCTTTCAGCACTGACGTGTCTTTGATTCTAAGGTTCCCCGGGGATTTCAAAGCACCATTTGTTCCCTGCTGTCTGGGGAGTGAGGGTAGGGGTGGTCAGCAGGTGTCTGTGCTGCTCCCCCTACCTCTTCCTCTGTCTCCTTAGATCCGGCGCCGGAGACCAACCCCTGCCATGCTGTTCCGTCTCTCAGAGCACTCCTCACCAGGTGGGGCCCTTCCCTGCACCCCCCCCCAGCCTTGGGTCTCCCCAGCCCTGGCCCCACAATAACTGTGATGCCTTCCTGGGGGCCCTGCCAAAGTCCCAGGAGCAGGAGGCCAAGCAGAGCAGGAGACCAGGGATAAGATCTGGGAGGCCAACTCTTCTGGATTCATTTGCTGACCAGGCCCTACCCAGCACTGCATTGGGAGGGAAAGTGCACAGGCTCCTTCCCCAGAGACTGAGCCTCTGGAGAAAGTAACTCCGATTCTCTCTCTCCCCCCCCTCCCGCTCTCTTGCTCTCTTCCTCCTTCCTTGTCCACGGTTCACTGGCGGCCTCCCTCAGAGGAGGAGGCCTCCCCGCACCAGGTGAGTTTTCAGGGGCAGCTGGAAGGAGAGATGCCTGGGCCCTTTGGGGTAGGGTGGACAGGATTGACTCCCAACCAACACAGCCACCCCCAGGACACATTAGCATATCAATCGGCACACCCGCTGGGAGTGCCCGGTGCCAGGGTGCCACCGGCAGATTCTCTGATCTCACCATTCCTCTGTCAGACGCAGGTCCGACCCTGAGCCAGGCCACCCCTTATAAGGGCCCTCCCAAAGCAATGGGGCAGCCTCAGCCCAGGTGCAGAATCAGAAGGGCATCAGCACCTGGACACAGCAGCAGAGGCCAGATCAGTCTGCCCAGGGTGCTGGGGGTGGGATGGAATGGAGGGATGGTGAATGGAAGGGGCTTCTAGAGATCCCACTAAACCCGGCACTTCCCCTGGCAGAGAGCCTCAGGAGAGGGTCACCACCTCAAGTCGAAGAGAACCAACCCCTGTGCCTACACGCCCCCCTCGCTGAAAGGTACTGCCCCTGACTCGTCAGTCTGGCTGTCCCTTTGACCAACCTGGTGGGCATTGGGCATTGGTGAATTTGAGCCCTCCCCTCCTGAAGCCCTTTTGTTTAAGGGGTCAATGAGATTTCACTGGGGAGATGTTTAAGCCTGGATTTGAAGGATGAATAGGAGTTCAACAGGATGGCAAGGCAGGGAAGGGCACTCAGGGAAGAAGGAAGAGGGTACGCAAAGGAGAAGAGGTGTGAAATCACAGGGGTCTTTAGGGCCTCTCTGGAGACTAGGCTTCTAGATGGGGAGATGTGGGTGATACACCTGGAGGAGAGGGTAGGGCAGATTAGGGTGTGCGGAGGTCTCTTCCTAACTAAGCCCTAGGAAGTCTTTCCACCCCCATCCTCAACTCCTGCCTGAGGCTCTTCCTGCCCTGGGCCAGCCCCCTCCTCCCACGGAGGGAGATAGGGAGGGAGGCCAGAAGGGTGTGCTGAGAGCTCCCTCCGGGGGCGGGTTGAATGAGTTCCCAGCGTTGGCCAAGGTCAACAGGTGCGCCTGTCAGCCTGCTTGCCAGGAGTGGGAGCTGAGAGGAGAGTGGCTGGGAGGAAAGGAGAGAAAGGCAGGGATCCTTCCTCTTCCCCCAGTAAGGAAAGTGAAGGGACAGAGCTGCGGCAAGAAGGGAGTGCAATTCAGCACCTGGAAGGACTTCCCCACCTGTAGGGATGGGAGAAGGGCCCTAATGGCAGGCATAAGGGAAGAGGAGCATGTAAGAAATCCCTGTTCTCCCCATCCTCTGCTGGGGAGGGGCTGAGTGGATGTGGGGTGGAGTGGAGAATGGTCCCCTGAGCTCTTGATTGTAAATATACGGAAGATGTTGGGGGAAGGCGCTTCCTATTCACCTAGCAGTGACCAGAAACGTGCCCCCACTCCCACTGTCCCTTTGAGCTGCACTTTGGGAAGTTCTAAGTAGGGGGATGCAGAGAAGTGGAGAGGGGCTTGGAGAGGGTGGACAGTCTGGGGCTGTGCTGGGGACATTTTGACCTTAAAAAGGGAGACTTGGGGTGGGGGTGAGGAGTTCAGGGCTCCAGAGATGGAGACAGAGAAGGGGATAGAGCCTGGGAGAGGCGAGGGGTGGACCCCAGAGAGCCCTGCCAGGCGCGAGGCACAAGGGAGGCTCACGGGGCGCCAGCACAGGCACTGCACACACCTACTGTCACTGCTGCTCACGAACTCTCCTCCCCCGCCTGGGCGGGGCGGGGTGGGGTGGGGGGTGCTGCCTGAGCTGCCACCTCCTCCCCTCTCCTCCTCCCTTCCCGTCGACCCCTCACAGGACCCTCTCCTCCCTCTTGGGGCTTCTTCTGTACACCTTTACTCCTCCTCTGTACAGGGAGGGCATTGTTTGTAGGCTACAGCCAAGGGAAAGCGCCTGGCAGGGTTGGGGGTTTGTAGGGGGAAGAGTCAGGGGCCCTTGGGGGAGGGTGGACAAAACTAAGCCTCTACAGGGGGTGCTCTCCAAGGCCGGAGTGTTCACACTTGGCTCAAGGTGAAGCTTTGCCGCATCTCCAAGGCCGGGGCAGGGCAATTTATTGCTATTTTATTGCCTGGTTAAATTGCCAGAGCCAGCAGGAGGCACTGGCTGGGAGCTCAGGCAGGGCAGGGCAGCGGGACACACAATGCATCCTCTGTGCCTGCCTCTGAGCTGGCAGGAGCTCGATGCCCCACTCACTCCACTGGAGGTTTCCAGCCTGGATCTACCCCTGTGGGCTTCCAAGGGGCCCCTCCCCTCTTCGGACCTAAAAGGAGCCACAGCATCTCCACCCCCTAGCTTTTCAGCATCTCCTCTGTGGGCTATGAAGTTAGTGTCCCAAATGCTCTAATCCCGTACCAGCTCCTGGTTCCCTGCTGACTCTGCCGAAACTGTCCCCTCAACCCCTGCCATTCCCCCTAGGGTCCCCTGGTCCTGGTCCCCTTCCTCCAGTCCCCTGCTTCTTTCCATCTATTGCAAACTTCTCTCCAGCTGCCCACATGGTTCCCTTCCTAGAGCAGGTCTTGGTGGTGTGTGTGTTGGGAGGGGCGGGGGGTTTGCTGCTTTTTAGGTCACCGCAGAGGGAGCTGGGAGCTTGGGGATGTGGGTCAAGATTGTGGGTGCCGCGTCTAAGCACACTGCATCTCCAGCCATGGGCTCCACTGCCTGCAGACTGTTATGTCCTCTGGCCCTTGATTGCTCCTGCCCCTTGGAACCTGGGAAGAAGAATGTGGAGTGGCATCTATGACTGGACAGTGCCGCGGTGGGGACTGAGCACAAGGCGGGCAGGATCAGAGAGAGCAGGGACCCCTAGGCAGGCTAGGCACTCCTCCACAATTTGAAAGGGGCCAATCCCTCAGACTCTGGCCCATAGCCCTGTGACTTCTGCAGTGGGCTGAAGCTGGTAGACGCTGTCTCCAGCACTGGGTACCTAGTGAACCTGGGAGCTCCCAGCCAGGGAATGTTAAGCTGTTGCAGTGCCCGTCTGGTCTTGCCCAGCCTGGTTCCCTGTGGTGTATGGGAGCAGCTCAGTGCCAGCTTCCAGGGAGCCAGCATCTTGGGGCAGCTTAAGAGCCACACATAAGCAAGAGTCTACTCCCTACTTCTGCCAAGATCTGGTTCCCAGAAGGGTGACCTGCAGTCCTGAGACGATTATCTCTGCCCAGGCCAATGGGAAGGGGGTTGGGGGCTAGTTCTGTGGGCTGCTTCTTGGGCCTGACCCTTGCCTTCCTGGGCCTTTCTGTTCCAGCTGTACAGCGCATTGCCGAGTCTCACCTGCAGTCCATCAGCAACCTGGGTGAGAACCAGGCCTCAGAGGAGGAGGATGAGCTGGGGGAGCTGCGGGCCCTGGGCTACCCAAGAGAAGAGGAGGAGGAGGAGGAGGAGGAGGAGGAGGAGGAGGAAGAGGAAGATGAAGAAGAGGACAGCCAGGCTGAAGTCCTAAAGGGCAGCAGGGAATCTGGTAAGCTGAAGGGGCTGCAACGCCTGGGTCCCACCACCATGGGCTAAGTATGGGTCCTCCTTGAGCATCCTGTAATCTGCAGTGACACCACAGGCCCCCCCTCCAATCTGCTTACCTATCTGAGGACTCACATTTAGCCTGTCCTGAGACCTGGGCTGCTCCCATTCTTGGCTCAGTCGCTCCACCGATCAGGTTGTCCCTGATTCCTCTCTTCCACAAGAATTAAGGCACATGGGGTTTGAGGCTAGACCCAAGAAAGGACTTTCCATCCATAGGGGTAAGTGGGCACAAGGAGATGCAGGGATAGAGGATTGAGAGAGTCCAATGTCCCCTTCACCTGCATTTTGAACCTAGGATGTGGTCTCGGCTGCAAGGCAGAGGGCTAGCTAATATGTCCTCTCCAGGACCTTGTGGCTATTTCTTCCTCTTATTCCCTAGGCTAGAAGCCCTGGTGGCGCAGTGGTTAAGAGTCTGGCTGCTAACTAAAAGGCTGGCAGTTCCAATCCACCAGCTGCCCCTTGGAAACCCTATGGGGCAATTCTACTCTTCCTACAGGGTCTGTATGAGTCAGAATCAACTCAACGACAGCAAGATTGTATTCCCCAGGCTGGGAATGAGAGTGTGCCCTCTAGTGTCCAGATGAAGAAATCAGGATTCAAGAACCAACCTGGTCCTCTGTACCTTCAACACCAGTTGCCTGGGGAGAGGGACCAGGGAGGGACCTAAGACTCACACAGACGGCCTCAGAACCAGAGGCCCCAGATCCAAAGCACATCACAGAGGGTCCCAAGGCCCAGAGAATTTCAAGGCAGAAAGAGTGCATTCTCCCACGGTTATTTCTTCCATGCCTGGTCATAGACAGCTGCGCCACACCTATTCCTCCTAAAAAACAAACAAAAAACCAGTCACTCTTGATTTCCAACTCATGGTGACCCCCATGTGTGTCAGAGTAGGGCTGTGCTCCATAAGGTTTTCAATGGCTGATGTGTAGGAAGTAGATCACCAGGCCTTTTTTCCAAAGTGCCTCTGGGCAGACTCAAACCTCCAACCTTTCGGTTAGCAGCCAAGCACATTAACCATTGGCACCACCTAGGGACTTCTCTATCCTTCCCACATGTCTAGGTTTTTAGTCTCATTATTTATGGGGATGAAAAGCAGCTGACCACCCCTACTTGAAGTGTCTAGCCCCGCACCCAGACAAAATGGCTTGGGCCTCCTGTCTGCATCTCTGGTGGTGGGGGCATCAGCCAGGGAAGGAAAATCTCCCAGATTTTGCTGCCAGCAATGGGGTAGAGCTGGAAGAGCTGAGTCAACTTCCACTGAGACTCCAGAACAGGTGGGAAGGAGGCGACAGGAGACTGTTTGCTCAGGAAAAATGGGTCAAATGACAACTACCAAGGAACAACATCAGCCACCACCACTGGGGAAGCGGGTGGCTCCTGGTGCTGGCACTGGGCTGGAGAGTGTATTATCTTACTGAAGCTCAGCTACACAATTTCCCTCTTCCTGTCCCCTTCAGAGGGTAAAAATGACTCATCTAAGTCATACAGCTAGTCACTGGAAGAGCTGTCTTAGTCCAGTGCTCTCTCCACTCTACCATGGTGTTCTGAGAAAGCTCAGCCTCAACCATCAGAAAGATACAGCTCACGCTCCAGGACAGCTGGATGCTCACAGCCTGTATTTTTATCCCTTTTTCTGTCCCCAGCGGGACAGAAAGCAACCAGTGGCCAGGGTCTGGAGGGGCCCTGGGAGCGCCCACCCCCTCTGGATGAGCCCCAGAGAGATGGAAGCTCTGAGGATCAAGTGGGAGACCCAGCACAAAGTGGTGAGGCCTGGAGTGTGGGATGGGGGAGGTAGGGCTGGGATCTTGGTGAGTGGGGCCAGCTCCTGAGTCTGTCTCTGCTTGCCTTGTAGAGCCGGGGGAGGAGCCACAGCGCGCTGCACCCCCTGAGCCTGGCACATAGGCACCAAATCCTGCATCTCCCAGGAGGGAGGAAGTAGAGGGAGCATCGCTGTTCTCCATAATCCCATTCTGTCCTCATCCTATTTTGTACCCTTCCCCTCACCTGCTAGGGCTGCGGCTTCTGATTTCTAGGAGACTAAGGCTGGTCTGTGTTTGCTTGTTTGCCCACCTTTGGCTGATGCCCAGATTCCGGGGCACTTGCTGCCTGATGCCTACCCCTGCCAGTTGTTCTCCCATTCACCCAGTGAGAGGTGGGATGTAAGACAGCCCACACTGGAAAATCCAGGAACCTGGGGACAAAGGTCCACCCTTCACAATTTACTTCCCAGGCCCCCTCCCCTGGGCACAGGAGACCACAGGGCAGGACCCTAAGATCTGGGGAACGGGGGTACTAAGAACCTGTAGGTGCCCTTAGATTCTTCTCCATCTCCTCTTATATGGGGGATTCCAAGTTACCACCCCTCTCACTGGCTTCTACCAGGGCCGGGGACTCAGGCATCCTTCTCCATAGCCTCGACACTTTGGAAATCTTCCTTTTACCACCCCTGCTCCCTGGCCTGGGTGCCTGGAACATGGACTGACGGAGGCTGCTTTATTGCCTTTTGTGTGTGCTTTGATGCCAGGAATGCTGCCTAGTATGCATCCGTGTGGGGGCGCACTGTGGCAGGGGCAGGTTCTTGTTCTCCAGCTGCTCTGCCCCCTTCCCCTTCTTCCCTGACCCCAGGTCCTAACCCCTCCCGTGCTGTAATAAATCTTTGTAAATAATTGCGCTGAGACTCGTCCTTCAGGGGAAAGGAGCAGGGAGGGGGAGATGTGAGGAGGGTTACTGATGTCGAAGTCCTGGTCGGTGGTCATGCAATGGGTCACGGCCGCGACCCTAGTGTCCAGTCGAATAGTCTAGGAGTTTTTCCTGCAGAAAACAGGCTCGGGCACTCTTGGGAAGGGCCACGGAAATTCTAGATCCTGCTAGGAATAGCTGGGAGAGGCAGAGGGGAAAAGAGAAAGCCCTTCAAGAGTTATTGCATATTCCTCCAAGGGAGCTGTCCTCCCCTCTCTCCCCACAGGCCTTCTCTAAAGAAGTTCCTCCTTTTCCCACAGTGTCAGGACTGTGTGGCCCAATAACGATGATGCCCTTGAGTTTCTTTCCAATTCTCCCCACCATTAGGAAGATCGTCTTAAAGGTCTTAGCTTTAGCTGTAATCCCAATTTCCCGCCCGTCTTCGGAGGGCCGGAGAACTTGAGGCGGAGCCTGACCCGAAGGGGCGGGACTGAAGTCGTACGCAGGTCCCTGTTCGTTCTCCGGGGCGGACTCAGCGGCGGAAGTGGCGGTGCTGGGAGTTTCCCTTCCGCTCAAGGGCGCTGCCGGGGCCGCGGAGCTGGATTGCGGCTGGCGCAGGAAGAGCCAGGGCCGTGTTTGACATGGAGCAGGTGGGTCCTGGAGCGGTCACGGGGACCGGGGTGATGGCACAAGAGCTATACCTTGCTAGCGGATCCCGCCTTCCTGCCCGGTGTCCGTTCTTGGCTCCGTCCGACCCTTCCCACACCCACCGTGTCCCAGGTTCCGCCCCCTTCCTCTGCTGGGCCTCGCTCCGCCCCGCGCTTAGTTGGGGGGCTCCCGCGCTGACCCTCCGCGGCTCTGCCCATCCGAGGCGCTGCAAGGAGGAGGGCCTCGGATCGCCTACCAAAGCCTTCCTCTTAACTGTGATGGCAGAGGCGAGGGGAAGATATCTGGATATTAAGGGGCAGGAGTTGGGTATGGGGAGACATCAAGACCGGAGAATGAGGAGGAAAATATTTACACATTCCGGTATCTCTGCATTTCCCGGTCATCCGAAGCCTTCCCCAACTTCCTTTGGAAACTGTCGTAAATTACTTCCTTCGTTGTTGTTGTTGTTGTGTGCCATTGAGTCAATTCTGACTCATAGCGACCCTATAGGACAGTGTAGAACTGCTCCCTAGGGTTTCCTAGGCTGTAATCTTAACGGAAGCAGAATGCCAGGTCTTTTTTCCGCTGAGCGGCTGATGGGTTGGAACCACCAACCCTTCGGTTAGCAGCCGAGCGCTTAACCCTTGCTTGTGCCATCAGCCAAAAACCTGTTGCCATCAAGTCGATTCTGACTCATAGCGACTTTACAGGACATGGTAGAACTGCTCCATAGGGTTTCCAAGGAGGGGCTGGTGAATTCGAACTGCCAACCTTTTGGTTAGCAGCTGAGCTCTTAACCACTATGCCCCCAGGGTTCCTTAACTGATATCAAAAGGACCCTTTTCTTGAGTTCTTAGAGGTGCATAACACCAGTGATAATCATTCCTAATTGATGTATGTCCCCCTCCTCCCATCAGCATCCCCTGGTTTTCTTTCTACAGCTCTGATAGTACCTTCACGTTCTCCTCTTCTGCCCGACCCCTCATTCTGTACACTGAATCTGGATGGGCTCATGTACTCCCATGGTTCCAGTTTTACACCTTCTAAATACTAGAAACACCCAGATCTATGTCTTCAGCGCAGCTCCTCCCTGGAGCCTCAGGCTTGGCCATCCAGCTGCCTGTTGGACAGCTCTATTTCGTTCACACGCAGGGCCACCTCAGACTCACTCTCTAAACCTGAGCTGCTTTATTCCCCTGCAGACTTGTTCTTCCTCTGTGATTCCATCCCAGCCAGAAACCTGAGACTTATCTCACACTCCCTCTTGTTCCTCAACTCCCACATCTGAGGGGTGACCTAGTCCAGCTGACTTCTGAACATCCTTCAAACCTGGTCCCATCCCTTCATCTCTTCTGCTACCATCTTTGTCCATACATCTCTCACCAGGATGACTATAGTAGCTTGCCAGCAACTTCTAGCCCTGATTGCTTCCAACCCAGTCTCCAAACTGCAACTCTTGTGAGCCTTTTAAAACACAAATCTGACTTTACTGCTTAAAACCCTTTGATGGCTTCCCATTGCCTGTGAAAAGGCAGGCTGAATCCTTACACAATTTACAAAACTCTGTATAATCTGGCCCCTTCCCTACAGATCTCCTGTGTGCACCCTAAGGTTCAATAATACGGTGCTGCAGGATGTGCCTTGCCCACACCTTGCTATTCATGGCTCCGTGCCTTTGCACACCTGCCAGGCTAGGGCTGCCTCCTTTATCTGCCAGGCTACCTCCTATTGTCCTTGAGCCCTCTGCTTACGCAGCTCCCCCCCACCCCACCCAAGGCTCAGTGTTTCTCTGTGTCCTCTCAGTCCCGTCCATAAGAGCATGTTGGTGTTTGGTGCCATCAAATTGATTTCAACTCCTGGCGACCTCATGTGATAGAGTAGAACTTCCCCAGAGGGTTTTCTAGGCTGTAATCTTTACAGGAGCAGCTCCCCAGGTCTTTCTCCCACAGAGCCACTGGGTGGGTTTGAACCGCCAGTCTTTTGGTTAGCAGCCGAGCGCTTTAGCCAGTTCACCACCAGAGCTTCTATAAGAGCATAATGATTGGGAAAACAAACTCTGGAATCAGCCTACCTGGGTTCTGATACTGTTCTGTGACCTTGATGAAGACAGTGCCTCAGTTTCCTCATTTGTAAAATGAAGATAGTAATGTACCTACTTCACAGGGCTGTTCTGAGGATTAAATGAAATAATGTATATATAGGGCTTAAAATGGTGCCGGGCACATGAGTATGCAATCAATAAATTTGTACATAAGAATATAGCACACTGGTTATTATTTTTAATTTCATAAGCTGCTTGAGGACAGCTGATGTGGCTTACTTCTAATTGTACCCCAGAGCCCTAATGCCTGTCTCTTTCTCAGTAAGTAAAGTACTGGGGTAGGGGTCACTGGGGGCAAGATCTGAATTTGTCGAGTGAGAATTCAACGGTGGAAAAGACCCAGACCTGATGTCAGTCTACTCAGGAAAATGAATCTGGAGATAGGTAAATGTTGCATTTAAAAAAAAAAAAACTCTCAACCTAATTGCTCTCGAGTTGACTCCCTGATGTGTGTCAGAGTAGAACTGTGCTCCATAAGGATTTCAATGGCTGATTTTTAGGAAGTAGATCACCAGGCGTTTCTTCTGAGGCACCTCTGGATGGACTCTAACTGCCAACCTTTCGGTTAGCAGCCAAGCACGTTAATTGTCTGCACCACCCAGGGACTCCAAATGTTGCATGGCAAGTATTAAATTCTAGAGAAATGTACGTGGAGCTCTGGGAACCCAAGAGAAAAAGGCCAGGGGCTGCTTTCCAGTGGAGCTGACAAAGAGGATGAGTTTACCAGAGAGAGGTAGAGGCCAGGTGGGCTCAGACAACAGAGAGCTGGGTCTTCTGGACAGAGCTCTGGTGGGTGATGATAGGGTGAGGAGGGAGGGGGGATGGGGCTGGGGCAGGCAGGAGGGCAGAGGCAGACTCCTCTGCTGAACCTGGTGATGACTCGCCTGGCCATGAAGTCCCCCTGGATTAGAAGCCAGTGAGGACCATCCCCCGGGAAGGCCTGGAGCCCTAGTGCCTGGGGGAAGGGTCAACATGAATGGCTTTGGGCTGGGCCTTTGTTCATGTTGGTTTGCCTGCCTGGAATGCCCTGTCCTCCTCGCCTCCAGCTGGTAGATGCTGATTCTCCAAGGCCTGCGTCAGAGGACCCCTCCTTCCTGTGGCTGTCGTGACCTCACTCACTGCAACCTGGGTTGGATGCTCCTTTCTCTGAGAGCCCACGATCCTTTGTTCATTCCTCCTGGAAAGCACTGATGACAGTGTGACACCACGTAGTATTTATCTGCTAGCCTTCCTCACCAGCCTGGAAGCCCTGTGTCCCCAGAGACCAGCACAGAATGTAGCACACTGTAAGCTCTCAATAAAAGTGTGTTGTAGTAACTTGAGCTCTCATACACCTGGACCTGTTTAGGTAGGGAGTGCAGGCAAGACCCAAAGTCCTGGGCATTGGGCAGCACAGACTTATTTCTTTGAATGGTAGAGATTGATGGATTTATTGTATGGACGAGGAAGCTGAGACTCGGGGAGATAAGGTCAAGGTCACTCAGCAGGGCTTTAAAGTGCTGTCTTCTGACTCCATGTTCACAGCTGTCTCCCAGAAACTGCATGGCACGTATTTGAAGAGGTGGGGGCCCTAGGGTAGAAGGGGGCAGCTGCCACATCAGTGGGACAAGGGACAAGGGATGGGGAAGGCATCCCATCTGAACTCTCTCTGGCTGGTCCTGGCTTTTGTTGGGTCAGGGCTGGTGCTGGGAGGAGTATGTGCAGAGCACACTCACCTCCGTGGGGGCCTACCCTTGAGTGGGCTGTTGGGATGGAGATCTCTCCAGGAAGTAGACTGGCCCTTTTCAGACTGACCTTGGGAACTTGACCTCTTCAGCCCCAAGTTTTACCCAACAGGGGTGAGGGTGAAGCCGGACTCACCGGCCCCTGAGTAGGCCAGGGGTCCAGGGGTCATAGGGTCACAATACTAGGGGCTTCTTGACATTTAATGGGGGTGGCATGTGGAGAGGGAGGGAAGGAGGGCTGACTGGATTGCATTTGTTAGGGTTTTCCAGAACTTCCTGGGCTGGGGAAGGGGTGGGTATGGTGATGAATTTAGTTTCTGTTTTGGCTTGGTTTTTCCTCTTCTACTTCTCCAGAAGGAAAGGAGAAGCGGCAGGGCTTTGACTTGGAGATCTTGTGTGTCATTCATTGCTGCCTTGCCCCCCTCTCCTTAAACTCCCACTTCTACAGGGAACTTTCCAAACCCCCTTTGTTGGGTGGGGTGGGGTAGGGGCCAATAAGCCACTGTGCCAAGGCTGATGGCGTGGGCCGCTGAGCCCTGAATTACAGACGTGTCATCCTGGGTCAGCTCCCTGCAGCCCATTCCCATCTCTCCATCCAGCAGTACTGATGGGACCCTCAGTTTGGGCAGAGTGCCATGCTGGACATCCCCGGTCTAGCCTGGGACCCTGCCTACAACCCTGTACTCAGGGAGAGTAGTAGCAGTAATAGCTGCTGTTCATTAAATGTTTAGCGTGTATTATTCAAATCCTTTTAACAGGTCTGTGAAGTGGGCACTATACTATCCCCATTTTATAGATGAGGAGACCGAGGCTCAGAGAGATTCACTGATCTGGACAAGGGCCCACAGCCTAATGCAGAATGGTCTCGGGCTCTTGACTCCAGGTTTGGAACCCTTTGCCCTGTCCCAGGGTGGACATTACAGATTCACAGACCAGCTTCAGCCTCGGCCTTGGGGCTTGAGGAGAGATGCTTCAAGGCTCTGGGTAAGGGAAGTGCTGACTCCCAAGTCCTGAGATCTGGGTCGGGGGAGCCCTGGAGGGTGAGGGAAGACTCTGCCCAGAAGCTGACATTTGAACTGGTCTCTGAAGGGAGAGTTGGAGTTCTCCAGAGTGAGGAGATTGTTCTAGAATGATAAAACGAGGAGTGGAGGCACGGAAGGGGGATGGCTGTGGTGTGGTGTGTTCTGGGAGGAGTCTGTGGCTAGTGTGACTGAAGTGGAGAGTATAGGGGTGGGGAAACATCAACCTCCATAGCAAGAGAGAAGTGGTCTGAGGAAGAGTCCTTCCTCCTCCAGGACCCTCGCTGTCAAAGGAACCGAACTCACCTTGAGTCTCTCCCTGCAAGTCAGGGCTAAGGGAAGGGGAGGGGAGCAGCTGCCATGCCCAGGAAGTCGGTTCCCCTTGCCCCCTTGTGGGGAGAAATGGTTATCTGAGGTGGCAGGGAGAACCCCAGATGTCCAGGCAAGAGATGGTGGTGGTCAGGCCTGGGTGGGGGTGGTAGAGATAGAGAGAGGGAACCAAGCTGTCCTGACTCGTGATACCAGCTTCTTCCTGCTGTTTGCCCCAGTCTGGGACCCCACCCAGAAGCCCCTGTTGCAAATGGGGTTGGTACTAGTGTTTACTGGGGTGAGTAAGAGAAGGCCTGAGGAGGGGTGTGAGGGCCATGGCCACCTCTCCCCTGCCTCAGGGGAGGACTCCCTGTGCTCAGAGACCTGACTTGCCCACCCCACACTTCTTTCCCCTCCAGCCTAGGACAAGAAAAGCTCCAATTCCTCCCTTCCTCCCTCCCTCTCACTTTCCCAGAGCCTTAGCAGCTCAGCTTCCACAAACACACCCGGTGTCAAGTCTGCACCCATCCCAGGCCGACTCTTTCATGGCACATACACTGTTCTCCTCCCGACACCTCAGAAGGCGACTGGGAGGGGGCCGGTGACAGCAGGTGGCAGGCTTGCCAGGGAGGTCTGCTTCCAGGGGGCTGGGTGGCAGCCTGGCTGTCTCCAGCTTCCCACCACACTCCTGACCCCGGTTAGGTGGAGTCTCCCATAGCTGTTCTGCTAGCAGCTGCGGACCTCTGCCCTGCCCAGCGCCCCCTCCAGGGCCAGGACCTGGAATTGGCCAGAGAACCAGACTGAGATGGTTTTCCCCTCTTACACTCACTTGAAGTCATCTGAGTGGTTTTCAAACTGTGCCCACAGAGCTGCCTCAGGGTGACCCTGGGGTTTGACCAGTGGCGCTCTCTGTGGCCGCCTCCCCCTCACCTTTTATGGGAGTTGATGTCCCCCCACCCCTACACTCTACACTCCAGTCACCGTATCTTTGTTGTTGTTTATAACTTACTTATTTTGGTGGTGTTGAGAACGTACACAGCGCAACAGACACCAATTCAACGTCTGTACATGTACAGTTCAGTGACATGGATCACGTTCTTCGAGTTGGGCAGCCAGGCTCACCCTCCTTTTCTGGGTTGTTCCTCCCCCATTAACATAAACTCACTGCCCCCTAAGGTTCCTATCTGACCTTTCGAGTTGCTCATCACTTTGATCCCCTATAGATAGTTCTTACAAGAGCATAAGGCTCGAGGCACACATTCTTTACTAGTTAAGCTAGGCTATTGTTTGTTACTATATTGTTTTATATATTAATGTTCTAAGTAAGGTTTTATATTTTTAAAGGTTTTCTCTGCTTTAAAAAAAAAAAGGTTTGAAAACTACTGATCTTTTCCCAGGTAAGGAAATGGAGGCTTAGTGAGAAATGATTTGTTCTAAGTTGCTTGGAATTAATGATTGCCCCAAGACCGGCGCGCAGTGCTATTGACTCCCTGACTGGTGCTCTCTCGACTCCACAAAGCTCTCACTTGGCTGGACTCTGAGCACCTTCATTGGGGATATAGAACTCCCTTTCTTTTTCTGGCTCTTGGCCAGCTGCCCCCATCCCTGCTTGGCTGCCCCCTATCCTTGTGTCTTCGGCACTCCCAGGCTCCCCCGACACCTCTGCTCACAGCCCACATCTGTATCTCTCGCTTCGCCAGGGATGTCTGGGTGTTTGAGTGTCAATGCTGTTGCCACTGTAAGTGTGTCTCACATCCAAGCTGCTGCCACCCAAGTCCTGTCCCCAGGGAGGGAGGGAGGGAGACCAGGGGTAAAGACAGACAGACCCAGCAGCAGAGGGAAAGTAGGGAAGCCCCTCCCTAGCCAGCAGTGAGACAAGGAAGAGGGGGAGAGAGACAGGGCAGGAGACAGAGATGAGAAGGGGAGAGAGAAGCATGGCGGGGGGGGGGGCAGGAGAAAGGAGGGAAGAGACTGATGGGGGTGGAGAGAAGGACTCAAAAATGAGAGACCAGATGAACAGACCCAGAGAGGGGGGAGAAATAAAGACAGACACAGGCAGGAGAAATAAAAAGAGACGACAAAGAAAAGACAGACGGGAAAGAGGGGTAGAGAGATGGAGATACAGAGGAGAGGAGACAGGTCTGGCAGGAGACAGGAGAGCCGTTAGAGACGGGGAAATGTCACGCGCCCCCGAGCTGCAGCCCTGTCACAGTGAGGGATGCACCAAGCATGCATCTGGCACCAAGTCCAGCTGATGGATGTTGGGGGGTCTGGCTGCCGGGCGCCTGTCACATGCCCTCTTCTGACTACCTCCTTCCAGAGCTGGGCTTAGCTTCCCCTTGATACATTCCAGATGAGCTTGTCCTGGGAACCCAAAGCGTTTGGTTTTGGGGGTAGCCTTGGGCGGCTGCCTCTGCATCCCTGGCCCCAGCCTCTGCTGAGAACAGTCTGCTCCTGTAAACTGGGGTGTACAGATGCACAGGGGTGGACCAGCTGACTTTTTCAGAACCTGCTAGCCATACGCCTGGGGCTTGTGTTGGACCTAGAAGAGCAGGCGGCCCAGGGAGGAAGTCGACATAACAAAGGTGTGGACGGGTCAGGGAATCAGGGAGGACTGAGAAGAGGAGAGGGGTAGATCTTACCAGGGTCAGGGACAGACATCTAGGGCTTGCCTTCTACCAGCCCCCAATCCTGCCGTCTGGTGCTGGGGTATGAGATGACTCAGGGAGACCCTTGATGGAGCCTGAGCCCTGGAAGCCCAGGCCCTGCTGTGCTGAGGTATCATTGCACCCCGAGCATCTCCTCTCTGTCTCTAAGCTGATCCTTTGCTCACCCTCCTTCCTTCCCTCGCTCAGTCTTTCCCCCGACCAGGCCTGGCCTAGGAGAGCGGGGGACAGGGCCTCTTAGGGCCTCTTGCCCTGCCAACTGGTGGAGCAGAGACCTCAGGCCTGGAGGCTGCATGGTCGGAAAGGAGTGCTCCAGGGCCCCGTTTGTCTTCAGAGTGGTTGTCTTATATGTAAATAGGAGGAACCTGCCCTGTGTGGCCATGAAACGTGACCATGGACATAGTGTTTTGTGGGCAGTGAAGCACTGGGCAAGCTTTGGGTGATGACAAGTTCTTATCCTCTTTGGGGTTTGTCCTGTTCCTTTCTGCTTCGTAACATGGAACTGAGGGCCAGGAGACCCTCTGGATCATTCACTAATTCAACAGTCAATTATTAAGCCCCTACTATGTACCAGGCCTTGTGCTAGGCAGTAGGGAGACAGCAGTGCCAAGTCAGATCATGCCCTTGCCCCTATGGAGCTTACGGTCTAGAGAGAGAGAGTGTAAGCAATGAAGTCATTCAGGATAGTGATGAGTTCACTGATGAAAACAAAGCAGTGAAATATACTATTGTGCTGTGACTAGGGGTCAGAGGGTGGGAGGTGCTCTGAGAGGGGCTTCTGAGCTGCCAGTTCAAAGGACCGAGCATCCCAGGCAGTGGGGAGAGCTAGCCCAAGGCCCTGTGGCAGGACAGGGCTGGCATGTCCAGGGACCTGTAGGAAGGCCAGAGTGGCAGCGGTGATGAGACGGGCATGCCGTGTAAGAAGAGCTAGGCGGAGGCCACACGCTCCCGGGCCTAGGCCTACAGCGCAGTGAGGAAGGTGCTTGCTACCCTAAGAACTGTTCTGGGTGGAGGGGGTTCTTTGGAGGGTTGTAAGTGGGGAAATGGCAGGGTCTGATTTATGTTTTTAAAAACTTTCTTTGGCTATTGTGGGGAAAAGTGGTTGTTGGAGGCAGCCTGGAGACCCACCGCCTGGGTGAGAGATGATGGTGGTTGGGCCTGGGGTAGGGTGAGATAGGGAGAAGGGACCAAGATGTCCTCCCTCCTTATCTGCCACCCCTTCATCCCCTGTCCCAGCTGGGAGCACACAGAGACACTGCTCTAGGATGTCCCTCCCAGTTGCCATGGAATGGGGGGGAGGGGAGGGCTGGCTGCTGGGAGGGAATGTGGCTTTGTGCTTGGAAAACAAAGAACAGAGCTTGGGGCCCTCTTCTGGGGGTGGGGACGGGCCCAGAAGCTGTTGACAGAACCCAAAGGCTAAACCACAGGGCTGGGCTGGGCAGGAGCAGGCTATGCCCCAAGCATCAGGGAGGCAGGTAGGTCCCCAGCAGAGGGACCCCAGAGCCCTCCAAGGGTGGCCATAGGGCCCCTGGGCTTTGAGGGGGATGAGAAAGGAAGAGAGAGAGTGGGAGGGATGCTAAAACCCCACCAGCCTGGGAAATCAGGCTCGTGGAAGGAATTTGGGCAGAGAGTGCCCTGGGCAGTGGAGTTGGGGCAGGGAGTGGGCCCGGGTGTTTTGGGGCAAGGGTGGGGCCTGGGAGCTGTGTGTGGAAGGATGGAAGGAGCTTAGCAGGGACCTCCAGGACCCTGCTGTGCATGGCCTGACCCACCTACTCTGCCTCACTCCCAGCCCTGCCGCTGAGGCCCTGTCCTCCCCACCTTGAGGTGGGGGCCCACCAGGATGAGCAAACTGCCTGGGGAGCTGGCCCGCGACCTGGAGCGCAGCCTGCCAGCTGTGGCCTCCCTCGGCTCATCGCTGTCCCACAGCCAGAGCTTCTCATCGCACTTTCTCCCGCCACCCGAGAAGCGCCGGGCCATCTCTGATGTCCGCCGTACCTTCTGCCTCTTTGTCACTTTTGACCTGCTCTTTATCTCCCTGCTGTGGATCATCGAACTGAACGTGAGTGGGGGTGAGGCTGGGGGCACAAGCCCAGTTGGGGGGTCACCTGGACCTTAGTCCATCTGTCAAACGGGAGGGCAGCCTCTCCCAAGGGGTTGATACGTGGGTAAAATGAAGAATGGAAAGATAAGAGCAGCTATTTTTATCTTCTAGATGAAGAAAATGAGGCTTAGAGGGGTTGAGTACTTGGCCAAAGGCCCTAAACAAGTACGTGAAGGAGGCAGGATTTGAGACCCTCTGGCTTCCAGGTTCACACTGTTGACCTCTGCTCCATACTGCCCTCTAGTGGAGACACCTGGGAGAACCCTCAGGTTGAGCTGTTAGAATCTTGTTTTCCTTCCGCTCTACATTACTCTCTGGCTCCAATTCATTCATTCATTCATTCATTCATTCATAAAACATTTTTTGAGTCCCTGCTGTGTACCAGGCACCATACTAAAAGCAGAGGGCATGGTAAAAATTCCCAGTTCCCAGTGGATCCCAAGTCAGTTCTCCCTTCCCATTTTGGACCCTCCTCCAGTGCCCTTCCTCCTAGTCTGACCTCTCCAGGCTTGGTGAGATTCTGCTAGCTAGCGGCCTGGAGAGATGGCGCTGCCTCACAGTGCAGGGTGTGTAGGCACCTGCCCCTGGAGAATGCTTGGCCCACCCTTAGGGAACACGGTCTAGCTAGTAGTGGGGCTCCATCTCATGGCACTGACGGGGCCCAGCAGGGTATCCCAGGCTTGGTGCCATCCCAGCTCATCCTCTATGTTAACTTGTGAACTCAGCAAGGGACTCGGCCTCTCTGTGCTCCCTCCCCCCAGTTTTTCTTCTGCATAGTGGGCTCACCCTGAGATGTGGGTGGCAAGTGACCGTTCTCCAGGTCTCAAGCTTGAGTATTAGGAAAACGACGACTTTGTGATAGAAGTGAAGAGTTTGGGGAGGGGGCTAGTTTAGGGGCAAAGAGCATATGTTTGATCTTGGGCACGGTAAGCTGGAGGGAGAGGCAGGGTGTCCCAGTGGAAACGTGCTGGTAGCCGGGGCAGGGACAGGGGCAATGCTCACTCACCACCACATCCTGTCTAGCAGCGTGATAGATACTGCCCATTAAGCACAAACCTAATCAATTGATTTGCCACCTGGGGCTCCGTCTGACACCACTGCCCACTCCCGGCCCCCGTCACCCCAGATGGATTGTTAGCTGGAAGATGGAGCACCACAGTGGTGGGTGGGAGATGAAATTGTGCAAGTGGCAGGCTCCCAGCACCCCATCTTCCAGTCTTCCCTGCCTGCATATGTGCTGTGAGGGCTTGACCCATTGCCTCCCCTCCAGAGCCCCCAGGCCCTCCTAGCCTACTCCTTCCTGGGCAGTGTACCCATGAGGGGTGGTACTTGGACCCAGCTCTGCCAGTCTGGGCTACTTGGATTCTCAGAGGAATAATTGTGCCTGGGCTTTTGGGCCTCTGGCTGAGTTCTCTTGGTGTTTTAGGGACTCGGGCCCCTGAGGGTAGTGGCTTAGCATGTATAGTGTCTCCTCCAGGTCCTAGTCTCCCCTGCCTCCCTGCCCCATCCCTGGCCCCAGGAGTTCTGCCAGCATAGCTCTTCCCGTCTCCCTCTCCTAGACCAACACAGGCATCCAGAAGAACCTGGAGGAGGAGATCATCCACTACAACTTTAAAACCTCCTTCTTTGACATCTTTGTGAGTGAGCTTGAGGGCCCTAGGGGTGGGAAGGGAGCAAGGAAATGCTTGTTTCTCTTCCTTCTGCAATGACATATCCTAATCTGATTGGGAGACTTGGCTCCCTTCTTCCGGAAGCCCCCAGTCTAAAAAGGTTCCTAAATGAGGCCACATCTACAGATAGCCCTAAGCGGAAAAGGGAAGACAAGACTCCTTGTCCATGAAGGTCACATCCAAATTGTCCGCAAAGACAGAGTAACTCAACCATGTAAAGGGAACCTGGGGCAGCAGGACTGGAGGGGTTAATTGGGAAGGCTTCCTGGAGGAGGTGGGCTGGGAGAAGGTCCAGAGGATGTCCTGCACATAGTGAAGCCTTGCGTGAGGGAGACGCCCTCGAACCTCTCCCATGTGCGCATGGGTGTGCAGAGGGCTGGTGCCTGGCAGTGGGGGAGGCCAGCCGCCAGCAGTAGGTGGGGGGTTAGCCTTCTGTGATGCTTGGTTTCCCCCCCACCAGGTCCTGGCCTTCTTCCGCTTCTCTGGACTGCTCCTGGGCTACGCTGTGCTGCGGCTCCGGCACTGGTGGGTGATAGCGGTAAGATGCCACTTCCCTGGCAGCCCTTGGGCCCTGGTGACACTGGTGCAAGGGATGGGATGGAGGAGGACTCACTCCCCAGCCTCTGCTTTCCTCCCTCCCTCCCCTGGGCAGGTGACCACGCTGGTGTCCAGTGCGTTCCTCATCGTCAAAGTCATCCTCTCTGAGGTCAGTGGTTCTGAGTCTGCCAGGTCTGCTGGGCATCTGCCCTGAGGGCTGGGCTGCTCCTAAGCAGGAACCGTTTCTCGAAGTTGGGTGTCTGCCCCAAATTCTGTTGTCAGGGCTGGGGCGAGAAGGGATGTGTCCTTTGATATTTCCAAGAAATCACCTTCACTGGCTTCCCCCACTTACCCCCTGCAGCCCCAAGAAGCAGAGTTCTTCCTTCAGCTTAACCTCAGTGTATCTTGCTGCAGAATTAATTAATCCATCTCAGAGGCATGTACCACAGAGGGTCCCCAAGCGGCTGGGACCAGGAGCGGGCTGTATGCCCGTTTGGCTGGCCAGAGTTGGTAGTCCCAGGAGGGGGCTCTGGGTTTGGGGTGATTCCCTGCCAGGGAGCTCACCCCTTCTCTCCACAGCTGCTCAGCAAAGGAGCATTTGGCTACCTGCTCCCCATCGTCTCCTTTGTCCTTGCTTGGTTGGAGACCTGGTTCCTTGACTTCAAAGTCCTACCCCAGGAGGCCGAGGAGGAGCGATGTGAGTGCTGAGATGGTGAGGGGCGGGGTGTAGAGAGGCTCAGTCCAGCCCTGACACAGGAGAGTTTCAGGCAGGAGAGCAGCTCTGAGCCATCTTGCCAACTCTGAGCAGCCTGCAAGAACCTAAGGGTGAGCCTGGGTGGGGGATGTCCTAGACTGCTAAGGCATGGCTGTCCTTGGTCTGGGACAGTGACTGCCCATCTCGGTTCCCCCAGGGTATCTCGCTGCCCAGGCTGCTGTCGCCCGCGGACCGCTTCTCTTCTCTGGTGCTCTGTCCGAGGGTCAATTCTATTCACCTCCAGAATCCTTTGCAGGTGAGGGCTGGTGGGTGGGGAAACTGCCCTCAGGGAGGGGCTTTATGAGGAGCGGGTAGGCTGGGTCTGTTTTTTCTTTTCCTTCTCCTAGGCTCCCTAGGGAAAGCCAGCAACCCTCTCCCACCCACACTTTGATCCCCCCACATTCTTGCACTCAAGTACCCGAACCCCTCTGCCTCCTCGCACTGTCTCCCCACCCCTTCCCATTGTCATTGGGGCTTGTTTTCTGCAGGGTCTGACAATGAATCAGATGAAGAAGTTACTGGGAAGAAAAGCTTCTCTCCTCAGGTACTTGGCTACCCACCCCCACCCTACCCTGGGAACAGACACAGCAGAGAAGGGCCGGTGCTGGGCTCAGCCGGGGTGGGCAGGGGCTTCCCAGCAGAGGATAGACCTCCGCTCCCTGAATCCGGGTCAGTGCCAGCGTCTGCCCCATCATTGGTCAGGCCCACTGGTCTGCCTCATGGCTGGGGCAGAGGGAGCAGCCACAGCCATATCTCCTGGCCTCAGGAGCCCCCCAGGGCCCAAGGAGACCAGCCCAGGCCCTGCATCTGGTGGGGTCAGGCTCCTCTTGGTGTGTGGAGCTCCCAGAGAAAACAGGACACAAACAAGGCAGGGTGTGGGCCCCAGGCTGACCCCTTCCTGCCCCCACCCCTGGCCAGGAGCGGGAGTACATCCGCCAGGGGAAGGAGGCCATGGCGGTGGTGGACCAGATCTTGGCCCAGGAGGAGAACTGGAAGTTTGAGAAGAATAACGTAAGAAGCCCCACTCCTACCTGACCCTCCCGTGTGTGCTGAGAGTTTTCTCTCCCTTTTCTGAGGCCTGAGAAATAAGCCCAGGGATTGCCCGGGCTGGGGCCAAATTCCTGCCTCAGGAGAGGGCTGGGCCCTGAGGTTGGCCATTCTGAAGGAGGCTGGGCTGGATTGGATGATATCCCTGTCCCCCTCCTGCTCCCCCTGGGATCCTCACCTTCTTACTGCTCTCTCCCTGGGCCCAGGCTTTGAAGGGGAAGCCAGGCCTTTGCCCTGTGTCCAGTGTTTCGTGTCATGATCAAAGCAACATTATCTAAAAAGATGGCAGAGAGCTTGGAAAACAGAGGGAAAACATGCCGATCCCACTCGCCAGCCCAACCGTCCTGTTCCCCAGCCAGTTTCTCTGGCAGCCCTTGTCGGCATGGAGACACGGCTCCTCGCGGTCACAGCTGCAGCTGTGCTTTGCTCTTTTAACTTGATGTCAAAAGCCTTTCTCTTCTGGTTGCTGTACATTTGTCAGATCCACTGTTTTTTAACGGCTGCTCAAATACCCTCCAACCCCTGGAGTTTTCCACCCTCAGCTCTCAAAAGCCTCTACCCTGCCTGTCACCCTTTCCTGCACCACCTGCCAGCTCCCCATGCCCTCACTCTACCTCCCTGTCACCCTTCTGTCCCTGGCACAGGAATATGGGGACACGGTGTATACCATCGAGGTTCCCTTTCATGGCAAGACGTTCATCCTGAAGGTGAGTGAGGGAGGCAGGTGTCCTGGAGCCTCATGCTCGGGGACTCCAGGAAGGGCCCAGAAGACCCCCTGCAGGTCCTCCCCACCCCAAGAGCCAAGGGCTGGTATGTCCGAGTGGGACATTGGCACCACCCAGCCCTCTGCACACCCTGTCCTAGATCTTTCTGCCCTGCCCTGCGGAGCTGGTGTACCAGGAGGTGATCCTGCAGCCTGAGAGGATGGTGCTGTGGAACAAGACGGTGACCGCCTGCCAGGTGAGCTGAGCCCTGGGGCCCAGCCTGGCCACTGCTCAGGGCAGAGGCGGAGTGACCAGTTACCCTTGGGACCTGGGTCATGTCACTGTACCGTTCTGTGCCTCAGCTTCCCTATCTGTAAAATGGGGGTGATGGTAATAGTGCCTTCTGGGGAGGGTCGGGAGAATGGAAAGGGGATTGCCCGTAGAGCACCCGGCCAAGGGACCACCAATGGGCATGGCTGGCTCTTAGTAGAGGGACCTGGCCAGAGAGACGACTGGCCCAGGGGTGTCCTGAAGTGGTGGGGCCCTGGGGTCTTCTGGAGTGGGCTGTGTCTCACGTCTCCCCCAATGGCCCTCAGATCCTGCAGCGAGTGGAAGACAACACCCTCATCTCCTACGATGTGTCTTCAGGGGCTGCTGGTGGTGTGGTCTCCCCAAGGTGAGCGCCCACCAAGTCCCCTGTCAGTCAGTCCTCTCCTGGCTCCACCCCTGGATCTTGGGCTTCACACCCCCATCTAACTCTCCCTTCCCCAGGGACTTCGTGAACGCCCGACGCATTGAGCGGCGCAGAGACCGATACCTGTCATCCGGCATTGCCACCACCCACTGCGCCAAGCCCCCGACACACAAATATGTCAGGTGAGCCTGGCCTTGCCCAAGGTCATCCCAGCCCGCCCCTCCCCTGGGAACAGTGAGGGCAGTACAGGGTACAGTGTGTACAGCTGGGCGCTTTCTCCCACTGAGTCTGCATTCCTGTTCCCTGTCCTGCTGGGCTTTGCCCTTCCCAGCCCCTAATCTTGCTAATCTTGATGCTCTGTCTGCTGGGGACAAGGGGATAATGACTGGAGCCAAGCCTCAAGCACTGGAGGGAAAGTGTGCGGTGGGCAGCAGGCCAGGGTAGACCATGGGGAGGGATTGTCCAGGGAAGAGGACTGGGATCCCTGAGGTGGTGCCGGGGTGGTTGACCTGAGCAGGAGGCTGAGTTCCGGGACTTCGTCTTCCTTCCTGAGACTCGGGTCCCCTCTCATCCTCCTTATTCTATCCCTTCTGCCTTGACGTTCTCCTGGAGTGGCTCCAAAGTCCCCCCAAAGAAAAGGAGTTACAGTCTTCCTGCTGCTTGCTCCTGGGCATCCTCCTAGTTCTCCCTGCTTTCTAATCTTAGGCTATAGTGCTGCATATGTCCCCTTCTTCCCCACTCCCTGCCTTGGGTTCCGGCAGTGAGCACTGCTCTTTGAATCTGAAACTGGAGCTCTGGTCTTGGCACCACCACAGACTTGCTAGGTGACAGGGGACAAGCTTGTTTCCCCTCTGGTTGTCAACTTCCTTATCTATAGAGTGGGTTGAAGAGTGCTCAGTGGAGCTGTGGGGAGAATTAAATGGCCTCGGAATTCCAAGCATACTGCTCAGGCCCTGGGCCCAGGCCCTGGCTGCCTGCTGAGAAGGCTCCCCCTGCTGGAGCCCAGCGGCACTGCACTGCTCCCTGAGTTGGGCAGGGGTGAGGTGTGCCAGCCCAGCCCACCAGCTCACAGCCAGAGCAGAGCTGACCCTAGAGTCCCTGGACGGGGGGGATGAGGGCTGGGAAAGTGGTGAGTTCCTTGCCACTGGGGTGTATAAGCATTGGCGGGCTGTTTAGGAGGATTTGAGCCTCACATGGTGGGGCAAGGGTACAGGGGTGTATTCTGTGGCTCCCAGACACCTGTTCTGAGTTCCTGACCCAGCAACTCCCTTTCTGCTTCCACCTCGGTCCAAGCTGGGCCATGATGGAGGTGGCGGGGGGGACTTTAGGGACTTTGCCTGGTTCCAGGGTCCCACCCAGTGATGTCCCTCTCCTCAGGGGAGAGAATGGTCCTGGTGGCTTCGTCGTGCTCAAGTCAGCCAGTAACCCCCGAGTGTGCACCTTCATCTGGATCCTCAATACAGATCTCAAGGTGGGGAGGCAGGGCAGGGTACCAGGGGTGGGGGGCTGTAGGCAGGGTGGAGGGGACTCTGCTACCAACTTGATCACTATATGACCTTGGGGGCTGTCTACCCCATTCAGGGTCTCCCGTGATCTCAGCCTCCTTTCTCACTCTAAAATTTGGGGTTGGGTCCCAATGGTTGTCAGCCCTGATATTGCTGGAGGGTCTGTGCCCCCCCTTTCTCACCTCAGATTCCCGAGGCCTCGGCAGGGCAGCTAGCTGCCAGCCCAGCCTGGGTCTGTTTGGGCACAGCATGTTCTTCCTGCGGGGCGGGCAGTGGCCAAGCCAGGCTGGATTCCAGAGCTGCACCTGCAGTCTGGCCCAGTGTACCCTCTGCTGGTGCTAACTGTTGAAGGGGAGACCCTGCTGAGAGCAAGCCATTGTATAACTTCTTCCTGACTTCCCCCAGGGCCGCCTGCCCCGGTACCTCATCCACCAGAGCCTCGCAGCCACCATGTTTGAATTTGCCTTTCACCTGCGGCAGCGCATCCGGGAGCTGGGGGCCCGGGCATAACCATGCCCTCTCGCCCACCCTGCGGGCCAGGGTCCTGCCACCACAGCCTCCACAGCCAGAAAGGGAGCCGGCCGGGCTTCCCCATACCCACGGAGGCTCTGGCCTCATGAAGTGGGAGGAGGAAGGCCCCTCCCATGGCAGCACCTTGGCCCCAAGCTACCCCTCACCCAAGCCTCCCTGTGCCCGGGAGCCCTGTCGTGAACAGGGCCTGGGCCTGAGCATTTGGACTCTGCTGGCTGAGGGACGTGGGTTCTGTCCTGCTGATGTTTACATGGCATCCCTGCCTCCTGGGGGAGAAGATCCATTGTCCCCACCCTTGCCAGGGGCAGGGTCTGGGCTGGGAGCCTCAGACGTGGTAGCGGGGAGGGCAGGGCCCTGGGCAGGACCAAGGCCAGGACAACCTGGGCTCTCGTGTCACGGTTTTTTAGGATTATTTAAAGGGTCTGGGACCCTTTTCCACATGCACTTGTGGGGAAGCAGCGGAGGTAGGGGTGCTGCAAGTGAATCTCTGCCTCTGCTTGATTCTCCCCCTCCTCCAGGGCTTCCTCTTTGTAATTTGAGCCAATGAAAAACCTGAACCCAAAACAACAGCCCTCCCGCTTGCCTCGCCTGTTGGAACCTGGTGATGGGGAAGGGGTGAGCACTGCAGGGCCAGCCCCATACCACACACCCTCTCACACGGGTGGGCCGAGCCAGTGGAAATCCTCTTCCTGGAATCCCAGCATACTTCCCTGAATGCTTCAACTCAGGGGATGACTGGTCAGAGAAAAATGCCCACCTGTCCTGTGAGGGGAGGTCAGGTTGAGGTCTCCAACCACAAAGTGGACGGTGGGGGCAGGGAGAGACGGGGCAGTGCCATGCCAGCAGTGAGCCTTGACTTCATTCCCAGAGTCCTGAGGCCAGGGAAGCCTGGATGGGGGACCTGGGCTTCAGGGTCATACTGGGCTCCTCTGGGCTCCCCACACTGGGAACTCTCAGCCTCTCAGGCTCCACTCATCCTTTCTCTGCCCCCACTGCATCCCCAGCAGGGGTAGTGTAGAGCCTGGGGTCGTGGGTCGGTGCACCAGGACACCTGCTCCCCTACTTCTCGCCTGCCTGCAGGCTTCTAAAAGCACTGGCTTGCTTAGAATCAGGGAGTCAGGTGGACCCTATCCTGGTCCTTGCTAGGTGTGTGCCCCTGGGCACATTCGTCTACTCCTCTGAGCCTCCCTTTCTTATGTTGTAAATGGGACTCATTATGCCATAGAGTTGTGAGATTAAAAGAGATAAAGAATCGGGCCTAGGGCTCAGTCATCAGGAGTATGTGATCCTGCACCCAGGTGGGTGCCCACGGGCCTTAGCCCGCTGGGCGCTCTGCTGTCTCACGAAGTCCACCCATCTCTGGTCACTGCCTCTTCTGGTTTCCTTTGCTTTGTCCTCCTCCGCCCGCCCGCTGCCCTGTATGCCAGCTTCTTGTGCTGTAAGCACCTGCCCTTCAGTGTTGGGCTATTCCCTGCTCCCCAGGAGTGAGAGGCGGCCCTCTCCCAGGCTAGGACCTCGGAGCTGGCAGGCCCCACAGCTCTTCTGGTCAGCACATTGTGACTAGAAAGTGGGGAAAGTGAGACTCAGAGAGGGTCAGGGACTAACCCATGGTCACACAGCCTGTTCATGGCCGATTTCGGACTAGAGCCAGGTCTCCTGACTCTGCCACTCCCCAGAGCCCCTAGATTCCCATCTCACCCCATTTCACCCCACTTGGGGTATTGGCGATAGAGCTGGGGGCTGCCTCCCACACCTTGCCCCTCCGCCCTGACTGGCTATGGGAAGGAATACTCCCAGCAAGGTTGGTGCTCCAGGGTCCCAGGTGTGGAATTAACTTCCAGTTCTGCTGAGGTGGGGGGGGGGGGCGGCTTTGGTGCAGACGCCTGAGAATGCGGTTGCACCGTCCCTTCCTGTGGAGGAGCTTCCTGTGGAGGAGCGCCGCTGTGGGGTGTGCCCTTGAGCCCATGCAGAAGAGAGAGCAGTAGGGGCAGGACCTCACAGCCTGGTGCGGAGCACAGACGGGGCATCGGTTCCCTTTGTTTCCTGCTCTGTTTACAGACAAGCCTCTGCGCCGGGCCAGGGGGAAGGGGTGGGGCAGAGGGCAAGTGCCAAGGTGGCACGGGGCTGGGCATGTGCCTGACCTGAGATGGCATCTAGGGAGTGTTGGGACACCTGCAGGTGTCGTTCTGAGGACCCCCGTCCCCACAAGGGTAGCTTGATAGCTTCAGGAAGTGACCTCTGACCTGGGGGCAGCCCAAGTCCAAGTACCCCAGTCCCAGCCCTGGGCCCAGAGTCCCCCTATCACTGAGTCTTGGCTCTGCTTATAGCATCTGACGCCAGTCGGGCTGAAAATAGCCCCTGGAGGAGGGGGAGGAGGGGGCTATTTAAAGGGCCTGGGAGGAGCAGAGCCCAGAAGGAGTGCGGCAAGATCATGGCCACCTCAGAGCTGAGCTGCCAGGTGTCTGAGGAGAACCATGAGCGCCGAGAGGCCTTTCGGGCTGAATGGAACGATCTGACACTGTCCACGCGACCTGAGGAGGGGTGAGTGCCGGCCAGCAGGGTCCTGCCTCTGCTCCCCCAGAGCACCCTCCCCGAGCCTGAAGAGGCCAGGGCACAAAGCCCTGGAGACGTTTCTGGGGGATGAACGCAGAGATGGGGCCCACTGGGGAGACCAAAGTGGAGCCCCCCTCCTGACTCCAGGTTCTGGCAGCCCCAGGGAGCCCCCCAACTAGCCTGTGAGTGGAGGGCACTCACTCTCGGGAGCTCACCGCCCCTTCCCCTCTCCTTGCCCAGTTGCTCCCTGCATGAGGAGGATGTGCTGCTGCACGAGACCTACCACCAGCAAGGGCAGTGCCAGGCGCTGGTGCAGCGTTCCCCCTGGCTGATGATGCGGATGGGCATCCTCGGCCGAGGGCTGCAGGAGTACCAGCTGCCCTACCAGCGAGTGCTGCCACTGCCCATCTTCACCCCCACCAAGCTGGGTGCCGCCAAGGAGGAGCGCGAGGACACCCCCCTCCAGCTGCTGGCGCTGGAGGCGGCCCTTGGTGGCCAGTGTGTGGACCGCCAAGATGTGGCTGAGATCACCAAGCAGCTGCCCCCCGTGGTACCTGTCAGCAAGCCTGGTGCTCTTCACCGATCCCTGTCCCGCTCCATGTCCCAAGAAGCACAGAGAGGCTGAGCAGTGCTGCGAGTCAGGCTCCACTGTGCCCATCCCAGGCTGGGCCCTTCCTGGCTAGGAGCACAGAGAGGAGCTGCTGGTCATGGATGCTTTGTAGTTTGCCCAGGGTTGGGGGCTGGGGGAGGAGGGAGCCAGAGACCAGGATGCCTGGGTTCCCTGAGCTCCCAAAGGGAGGGGAGCAAAGATGATGGGCACTAAGGGTGGAGAGGTGGGGGCTAGCACTGCCAAGTGCCCCCAGCCCCAGGAGAAGGGACAAAAGATGCTGATGAGGGCAAGAGGTCTCTGGGAAGAGTGACACTGGCCCAGGTTTCACCTCCAGAGAAGGATGAGAAATGTGTGAGAGACATCTGGAATCCTCTGGGAAGGAGGCTTGAGAAGACCAGAGGAAGGGGGACATAAAGCGGACAGAGGCAGGGTGGAGCCCCCAGCACTCTCTGTTAGCGCTGCAATAAATGCTCAATCATGTTTCAGTGTTGTGTCTCCTTGCGGTTGTGAGGGCCAGCCCGTCACTGTCCCCCATACCCACTTAGGGAAGGGAACAGACTCTGCATCTAAATAAGGCAGAGCTAGTGAGTACAATTCATTCTTGGGGGGTAGGGGGCAGGGACAGAGCTGTAAACAGGGCTGCTGCCTGTCCAATCCCCTTCCCTTACCCTGACTCTGCTGCCCAGTCCTGGCCTCTGTGTCTAACCCCCTGGCACTGGGCAGTGCCCAGCAGGCCAGCTGGCACCCAGGGCTGGTTTAAATGATGTGTCATGGAGAATATGGAAGGGGCTGGCACCAAGACTGTCCTTGGGTGTGCACAGGGTCAGTGACCCCAAGGCCGACCTCTCAGTTCTGAATCCAGACGGAATCCTTGGCTGCGCTCAGGTGCTTCACCCTCTCTGCCCTGGGATCCCGGGCTGGGTTGTCGTCGGGGGTGGGGTAGGGGGTCAGGTTCCTGTCTGTGACCCTTGCAGCTGTTGTGATTCATGTTCCAACCTGGCCGCCTAGCCCAACAAGGAGACACTTTCTCCTTGCACCAAGGAGACGGGAGGGCCACAGAGGAGGCCTGGACCCAGGGACGCTAGTCCTCATCTTGGTAGGGGCAGTAGCCTAGCCAGAGTAGAGGGGCACCTGATCCGGAGGGCACCCACTCCAGAAAGACCATGGAGCATCTGCTCCCCGTTTGGGTGACAGGAGGGGAGACTCTGGCATCTTGGCAGCTCCGTTACCTGAAGGCCAAGTAGGACCTGCAGGCCTGGCCCTCTTCCTCAGAGAAATCTGGAGGGTGGGCTGAATGGGGACAGCGGGGCAGAGACGCCAGACCGGAGGGCCCCAAATCCGCAGGCGCTTGAATGCCTGGACTGCGCCCCCTGGTGGCCCGGCGGCCCGGAGCGTGCTCCCCGCGCCCTCTCACCCTTACCCGAGTCCCGTGCACCCGACGTGATTGGAACGTCCCGAACCTTCTGACCCCCAGCATTCCCCAGATAAGTGGCTGGGAGCCCGCGGGGCCCGCAGGACAGGCCCCACTGTTCCGCCCGCTAAGTGCATTAGCCCAGCTCCCCGGCCTCCTCTATCGCAGCTGCCATCGGACGGGCGGGGCTGGAGTCCCGCTCTGGGGCCCCGGGGCGACCACGGTGGTAGCCAGAACGGACTGTCCTTTCTGGACTTGGGTGGGGAGGGAGAGGTGGCCGCTGGAGACGGGGGGGTGGGGTAGGAAAGGACGAAAGAGAGGCCTGGAACGAGGTGGAGAAGGGGAGTTGGGATGATGTTGCTAAGCAAATAGGGTGGGTGTAGGAAAGAGTGCCTGCAGGAAGGGGTGCCTGGCGGCCGTCAGGGTGTGGGAGGAGGGCTCTGGGAGATGGGGAGGGGAAAGGGGCCAACTGGAAATGTGAGAAGAGTAAAGATGGGATGCAGGGCAAAAGGGGTGAGTGGCTGGGGGAACTGGAGAAGAGAAGGGGGAGAGGAGACTGGCAGGGGCGCGGGGGGAATCTAAGCATCTGGGCGATAGGGAGCTGAGGGGGGGCGCGGAAGCAAGTGAGGCCAAGGGTGGCAGGGCCGCGGGGAGCACTACGAAGCAGGGCAGGGCGGGAACCGAGGTTTCCGCGGCCGCCCCCACCCCTGTTCCCGTGCGTCGGCGGCTCGGACACTAAGGGAGATGGATGGGCACCAGGGAGACGCAGCGCGCGGGGCCCCGGGCGGCCCGTCGCTCAGCAGCCGCCCCCGCAGCGCAGGGGTCTGGGCGGGGGTCCGGCCGCAGATATAGGGGCCGCGAGGCAGGTGGGGGACAGGGACGCCGAGGGAGCAGCATGAGCGGCGCAGACCCGAGCCAGGCTGCGGGCGCGGGCCCTGACTCGGACCTGGGCCGGATGGCGGTCGCCTCAGCCTACCAGCGTTTCGAGCCCCGCGCCTACCTCCACAACAACTACGCGCCCCCTCGTGGGGACCTGAGCAGCCCGGACGGCGTCGGGCCTTGGAAGCTGCGCTGCCTGGCGCAGACCTTTGCCACAGGTGAGCGCGGGAAACCTGAGGCACGGGGGACAAGAAGTCCCTGGGGAGTGAAAGGGGCAAGAGAGGAGGAGAGAGAGGAAAAGGGACGACAAAGAGAGAGCCAGAAAAGACCAAGAATCAGAGATAAGTAGTTAAGAGGTGCAAGTAGAAAAGAGGAGCAACATCTTTTGGGAGAAAGGCGGAAGAGGGAGACTGTTGAGAAAGAAAGTGAGGAGGAGAGAATGTTCAGAATAACACAGATAAAGAGAGATGCAGAGAAAGAGATGGAGCCAGAGATTGGGGAGGAGAGAGACAACTGGGAGAAATCGTGAGGCACCCCAGGGGTTTTCCCACTGAATCCTCACTGGTAGGTATTGCTTTATAGATGTGGTACCTGAGACTCAGAGAGGTTCCTGTACCTTTCCTAGGGTAAGTCAGCTGATGTGAGAGCCAGGACTCGAGTCCGGGCCAATATTCTTTCCAGATACTGACACACACCCTTAGAGAAGGAAGTGATCAAGAGGGAGGGAGAAGCAGGTATGACTGAGAAGAGGGTATGACTGAGGCAGGTCTGGTACCAGGATCCTCTTCCTCTGCCCCATCCAGGTGAGGTAACTGGACACACCCTCATTGACATCGGCTCAGGCCCCACCATATACCAGCTGCTCAGCGCCTGTGCTCACTTTGAAGACATCACCATGACAGATTTCCTGGAGGTGAACCGCCAGGAGCTGGGGCTCTGGCTGCGGGAGGAGCCGGGGGCCTTCAACTGGAGCGTGTACAGCCAGCATGTCTGCCTCATCGAAGGCAAGGGGTAAGGAACAGAGGTGAGGGTGCGGGCAGGGGGTTCCCCAGGAATCTTCTGGAAGGAGCAAGGAAGGACTTAGCGTGGAGCAGCCACAAGCCCTTTTCCTGACCCCTACCTTCTGTCCCTGCACAGTGAGTCCTGGCAGGAGAAGGAATGCCAGCTTCGAGCCAAGGTGAAGCGGGTCCTGCCCATTGATGTGCACCAGTCCCAACCCCTGGGTGCTGGGAGCCTGGCACCTCTGCCTGCTGATGCCCTGGTGTCCACCTTCTGCCTGGAGGCTGTGAGCCCAGACCTGACCAGCTTCCAGCAGGCCCTGGACCACATCACTACTCTGCTGAGGCCTGGGGGGCACCTCCTCCTCATCGGGGCCCTGGAGGAGTCATGGTACCTAGCTGGGGAGGCCAGACTGGCGGTGGTCCCTGTGCATGAGGAGGAGGTGAGAGAGGCCCTCCTGCGCAGTGGCTATGAGGTACGGGACCTGCGCACCTACGTCATGCCTGCCCACCTGCGGACCGGCGTGGATGATGTCAAGGGCATCTTCTTTGCCTGGGCCCAGAAGAAGGTGGGAGTGTGAGAAGGCCAGTGTCCCCAGTGCCAGGGTGGCCCCCACCCTCCCAGATTCCCTGAGGTGGCACCTAATAAAGAAAACATCCTCTGCTGCTGGATGTCAGTGCTGTCTGAACCAATAAGGGCCCAGAGATCTCTTTTGTGAGTGTGGGGATGTAGTAGGCACCAACAACTCTAGCCTTTCTTCCAGAAGTTTCCATGAGGGTAGGTCTCTGTACCACCCATTCTTCCCAAGCTAAGACCAAGGTCAGGCCATATATATTGAGCACCTACTGTGTACCCAGCAGCAGGCATCATTCCGCCCTCACACTCAGAGGTGGGTCCTGTTATCCTGTTTCCAGATGAAGCTCAAGAGAGTTCAAGTGACAAATAGCAAAGCCTGGTTCAGACCAGAAGTCTCAAATGATCTTTCTATAATGTCTCCTACCTGGAGGCAGGGAGGACAATGGGGATAATTAGGAGACTGAAGTGAAATTTGTTTGGGGGCGGGGGGTGGGGTGGGGAGGCTATACAACTGAGGCACAAACAAGGGCCCAGGGAAGTAGGAGAGAAAGAATTGGCACCTGGCTCCCTCTTCTCCCTCCTCCATAAGCTGGACTTGTGTTCTGCCCAGCCTTGCATTCTGGTCCCTGCCATCCCCACCTCCGCATGCCTACAAAAAGACTCCACCTCTGTCCCCTGCCCCTTCCCAGCCAGCTCTGGGTCCTCCTCTTCCTGGCACAGCTCTGTCTCCTCCTTCCCTCCTGCCCACCCTATCCACACAAATGAGCTGAACAAGAGTAGGTGAGACTCAGAATTGGTTTATTAAGAATGCCCCTTGCTGTCCTCTTGTCTTAAAACAGCTCCCAGTATCAAAAGAACCCAATATGAGCTACTCGAGTCCCTGAGGTTGGAGTCCTAGCATAGTTCCCCTCTCCCCAAGAAGGCACAAGGGGGCAAGGAAAGAGCAAGGATCCAGTCTCTGCTCCAATCACAGAGACTGCCTTTGGGATGAAAGTTTCTGGAGCTCCACAAATTGCCATTCTGTCATTGGAGGGCAAGAACGTGCCAGGGCTGCCAGCAACTGGCAGGGGTAACATTTACAAGGGTACAGATACAGTGTGGCCCCTTCCTGTCTTGGGGCTACCCTAAAACAGATAGCCCCTCTGGGGAGGGTAGAAACCAGATCCAGCCACAAGCTTTCTCCCCCTCTTCCTTCTGACTGCTCCATCCCTCCCCAAGGTCCAGGCTGTCTCAAACGGGTTGGCAAGCAGGAACTGAGGGAAGGGGAGGCCAAACTTGCCTAGGCAAGGAAACAGGGAGGTGGGAGAGGGCGAGACGGATCTGCATTTTCCTTCCTCCCTCTGTCTCCAAGAGGCTGGTTCTGGAGAGTGATCAGCTGTGTGGGGGCTCTGTGAGGCTTGGAGACAAAAGGGCAAGGGGGCAAAAGACAGGGACACACACACACACACACACACACACACACACACACACACGCACACACACGTGCAGCCTGGATACCCATCCTCCCAGCCAGATCATGGGGATATCCCTGCTGCCTGCCTGGCTTGGGGTCTTGTGCAGAGTTGGTGCTCAGTAAATGATTGCTGGTAGTGACCTGATCCCCCCATCTTACTCCAGCCTCCCCCACTGTGTGGCACACCTCATCTCAGACACGCACCCACAGACACACTCACACTCAGACTATGTATTTTTGCCTCACCCAATGGCTTCCCTCAACACACACACTTTAAAACTGCTCACAAAAATGTTTTGGAACTACATAGAAGTGGTGGTTGCACAAGATTCTGTATGTATCAAACACTACTTAATTGTTCATTTTAAAATGATCAATTTTGTATGAATTTCACCTCAATTAAAAACAACAATCCACACACCCTCCTCGTACACTCTCCACACCGCACGCACACCCAGGCTGTGCTAACACACACTGTCCCACCCAGCGTGCCACACCCCCCCAGGCCCATGCCCTACCACCCCTACCACCCCTACCACCCACGCTCCGGTTCCCAGTTCAGAGCAGCAGCACAGAGGCTGGAGGGACTCCATGAGTGGGAGTATGGTGAGGCCTCCAGGGGTTCTAGCTGGGGCAAGAGTCAGGGGGACCCCTCCCCAATCCCAGCAGCTGGGTCCCTCAATACTCCAGGGGAAAATGAGAGCAGCAGCCTAAAACGTCACTAGCAGCCAAAGTGCAAGCATCCACTGCCACCTAGTGGTTCCCTGGGTGAGGGCTGGGGGGACCAGAAGGGGACCCGCTACATCCCCAAAGTCCTGTAGTACCGGTCTCCCAGTTAGACCTAGGGCTCGAGGGAAGGCCGCCAGAGCAGCGCAGCATGGGGAGGTGGGGAGGGGTCTGAGGGGCGAGAGGCCGGCGCAGCACTCTTCTCCGTGGGGCAAAGCACACACTCAGCTCCCCCAGTTCAACTCCAGGAACCAGAGGGGCTGCCCATTCTTCAGCCCCAGACACTGGGAGGCCAGGCCCAAACAGGCTCCAAGATCTGTGAAGGCCACGTAGGGGCTGGCAATGGGGTGGGCAGGGTACATGATTCTCAGGCCACACCCCTCATGTCCAAGTTCAAGAAGCTAAAAGGAGAAAACAGATCATCTCAAGAGTTGGAGGGAGAAGGGAGGCCAGCAGGGAGGCGAAGACCCACTCCCAAGGTCTTCAGTCCAGCTTGAACTTGGTCTCTGATTCCTTCAGCAGGTACAGGCTGTCGTCCTCCAGGAAGCTGTGGGCCAAGGGAGGAGCCCACTGAGGCATGGCTCTGAGCACTCCTCCTCTCCTGGGGCAGGCAGGGGTGAGAGGCATGCTTGGAGTGGGCGAATGGGCTATGCTGTCAGAGGCAAGGAAGGGAACCCAAGAAGGGCTGTACCAGGCAGGGAGTAGCACCAACCTGAAAAAGAGCACGTGGACAGGGATGGTGCTGATGTGCCAGATGGCATGGGCATCCAGGACCCAGAAGAGAGGTGGGAAGTCCAGCAGCTCGAGCAGGGACAGCCCCTGCAGCAGCACGACCACCAGCTCGCACTTGCGCACGTGAGGCAGCCGCCGGTGGTTCCACAGGCACCAGGCCAGCCACCACACCACGTTCACCAGGCCTGGGTGCCGCAGGGGCAGGGGAGGCTCACTTCCTGGACCTCCTTCTCCCTCTCCAGGTCTCCTCATCCCCAGGACCTCGCTCAGCTTCTCCTCCCAGCATCCCTCTCTCCCGCCTCATGTTCTTTTCCCTTCCCACATCCCAAGGGTCGCTCTAGAACTTCCTTCTCCAGGAATGGCACCAACCCACTCCCCCACCTCCAGCCAGTAGTTCTGCAGCCAGTCCAGCCCCCAGGGCCCCAGTCCCGCCTCACCAATAGCCAAGTTGGCCATCAGGTTGTAGCCATAGTCAAAGTGGACAAGGCTCAGGTAGGAGATGTGTGCGGTCAGCAGCAGCAGCAGGAGGGCCCGGAAGGCACTGACCACAGCCGGGCGCTGCAACCCCACGGTCCTGCTCCACCGACCACAGCTGCTCAGATGACGGGTGGCCCGTCCCCAGAGCAGCATTCCCTGAAGCATCTCCTGGCCCCAACATTGGTACTGCTCCTGGAAGCCACCGCCCCTCTCTCCCACCAAAACAGACCAGCTAGGCAGGTCCCCGCCCCCTAGAGGACCAAGTGCTGTAGATCCTGGTAAGGAGCCAGGGTCCCCAGTCCTATTCCAGAGCCCCCTTTCAGTACAGCCTGGAGGGTGTGTGTGTGTGCGTGTGTGTGTGTTGGGGAGCTAGTGAAGAAGGCCCCGGAGACAGCACCCCCAGGGTAGAGCTGGGGAACCCCTCTCTGCCCCTAGGGCCTGATCCCGCCTGGGGGCCTCACCTGACACAGCACAGGTAGACTGAGTGGAGGATGACGGTGGAGGCACAGAAGTAGTCCATTTTCTGAGGACAGGGAGGGCAGGATGAAGGGCCAGTGTGAAGGGAACAGAAGTGGGCAAGGCCTCCTAGAGGGCAGGGCCCAGGGAGGACCCACCCACTAAGGAAGAGAGCAGAGAGGGGTGGCAGAAGCAAAGCGGAGTCTAACGTGGGGGTCCTTGGCCTATGGTCAGTGGGCACTGTGTTTCCTGCTCCCTCTGTCTATAGCTGTTTCCCTCTTGAATTTAACAGACTGGCCCTTGTGTTCACATCATACAAATTTTTAAAAACATGCTCAGTAGCGAAGCTTTAGGAGCATCGGCGGAGGGTGCCTACTGAGACTCAAAAACAAACGAGAGTACACCACAGAATTAAGAGCTGGAGTTCGACAGCCGTGGGGTCAAGTCCTGATGGCACCCCTTTACTAGTCAGGCAACTCTGAGCAAGTTATTTAGCCTCCCCAAGGCTCAGCTGCCTCACCAGTTGAAAAGAGCTAATGATCATGAGCACCTCACAAGGTTCAAGAGAGGCTCAAGTGCACTTTGTTGCTGTTATTGCTGTCTAGTAGATTCCGACTCATGAAGACCCTACGCCTAGCACATCGTAAGTGCTCCATAAATGGTAACTAGTATTAGATGTAAGAGGCCACTCTGCCCCACCCCTCTGGGACAGTCCCTGCTGGTGGGAGAGCGGGAGAGGTGCTCACCTCTGTAAGGTCGGTGTCCCTGGTATGAAAGACTGTGGACCAGAACCAAGCATTGAGAGAGACCTGAGGAGGGAGGGGGCTGGTGAGCTGGCTGGTGACTGTGCTGCCCCAAGGTGGGGGAGACCCCCAGCGGGCTCACATCCTTTGCGAAGAAGGGTCTCTACCAGGCCTCTGAATGGCTTGACAGAATCCGATGAGGCAGAAGTGTTTTCCAGGGCTCCTGGAGCCTCCACCCCAACTCATCCCACTTCCCTCCGGTTTGACTTTCCACCACCCTGAACCTCCAGGGCCACAGAGGCTCAGCCTCCACAGGGAACCAGTTCCGCCAGAGCCAAGTCCCTGGGGGTTACTCAGTCATCGCTAAGACAACAGGCCCCCCTCCCTGGGGGCCTCGCCTCCTCACCCAATCTGCCCAATCCGCAGGTGATGACAGCCCCACCTGGGCCCAAGGGAGTCAGTGACCTCAGCTCTGGGGGCGGGAATGAGGTGGGTGGAGTG